AAATGTACCAGCATAGATTGCTTTTGGCCTAGAATAACGTTGCCATACTCTTGATACACCCCCCAGCCTTTTTTGATAGCATCCGAGGCCTTATGATCATTATTAGCGTTACGCGTTACGTTTCCGTTTTCCACCAAAATCCACCAAGGGTCATTTTAGCGTCCCTCTAGAACAAGGAGAGTGGTCCTGACATTCGTCAGTGGTTGCCTATGATTGAGGAGTATCTCGTTGCTACTTCCAATGCAGAGTATCTGCGTATTGCATCTTCCTATCTGAATGGTAAGCCGAGGTCCTTCTGGATGTCGACGTGGGAGGCATGGCAGGCAGCCAACCCTGGAGCGTATCCTGGAAGTGCTAACCCTGGCCCGTTTGTTGGAGCTGCTCGGGATTTCTTCCGTGAGACTATGATTAGGGGCTATGGTCTTCGTACCCCCATTCAGTCCTATTGGGATACCTGGAACAAGTTGTCCAAGGGGTCCAAGAGCGTGGATGATTATAACATCGATTTCAACCAGGCCATGGTTAATCTCCGTGAGGAGATTACTGATGAGGCTGTCAAGATCGAAAGGTATCGGTCGGGACTTCAGCCTGACCTGAGGGAGATGTGTCGCACTAATACTCCTGGTCAGCGTTGGGCAACGCTCAATGCCATCGGAGAGTATGCGACTCTACAGTGGCCTACTATTGAGGCACGTCTGGCCAAGCGCATGTCTTCCCAGCCTGCCAAATCGGTGGGTGGAAAGCGCAAGGCATCTGGTGGAGGTGGTTCTGGACGTTCGTCCAAGGCCAAGTTGTCGGCAGCTCTTACCGATGAGCAGTAGGCCAACGATATGGAGAACCGCCTGTGCCATATCTGTCAAAAGCCAGGCCATATTGCACGTGACTGCGAGGAGGGTCCTCCCAAGGCGGCCGCGGGCAAGGGCAAAGGCCAGAAGAAGGGCAACAAGAAGTATGAGCAAGGTTTTCAGAAAAACTAGCCAACGTAGGACAGTTGTCTAGTCAGGAGAACTCTGTATTGGATCTGACAGAACGGGACTTCCTGAACATTTAAAATGTTACTGGTCGTATATTTGAAGTTCAACGTTCAGAAGATTCCATCTCTACAGATGTGTGTCCTAATCAGCTTTACTGACATCGTCTATGGCAGGCAAGCATGTTTGGATAAACGCGAGCACAGCTAAGGATGTGACAGAACGTCTTAGGCATTTGCATTCTGCGTTTGTTGATAGCCCTACTTCGACGTCTGCTTGTGTGTTGGTACGTGATAGCATGCCTATTGCTTTGCCGTTACTGAAGGATTTTCGTGTTGTGCTGACAGTTCCGAAAGGTGGGTTGGTTCGTCAGTTGCAGACAGATCACACGTGGGCTGTTGTGCGAAGTCCTGAGAAGTTGCGAGTTCTGTTCCTTGCTTCTGTTTCTAACAAAGTGTCTTCTGAAGCAGGTCTGCTGACCAACAAGATTCTCGCAGGGCTCCTCGCGGAAGGGCTCGGCTAAGTTGCCACGTATGATGTTTTCCGAAGCTCTGGTAAGGCAGCTGCGGCTAAGTCCAACATCCTGTTTGACTCTGGAGCGTCAGTGAACTTCGTTTCTGCCAAATTTGCTAAGCAGACATGCATTACGGTAAGACCTACTTGTAACGAACGGGCTTTGGTTAAGTCTAACCGCACGTCGTTACGAGGATAACCCCTGAGTTAAGCAATTACGTCAGGTTGCGACGTATGAGCACAATATTGATGTG